TGATAAAATTAGAGGTTCAATTTATTGGTAAATTAAAATGATATAAAAAATATTTAATATATAGTTGTTTTATTTTAAATTAAAATAAATTATAAAGGGTAATAATAAATTTTAGATAAATTAATAAATAAAAAATAAAAGAAAAAATAATAAGCAATAAGCTATAAGTTAAAATTATTTGAAATAACATTTGAAATAAACCTATAAATTAATAAAATAAGCTATAAACAATTATAAGAAAAATATAAACAATTATATCAAAATACAAAAAAAAAGTCTCTAACATGAAATAAAAAAAATCCAATTACATTACACAAATTTGAACCTAGGACATATTGTATGAAAAATTAAACTCCATATCTAAATGAGTTTAATTGGAACGGAGTGTAAAGCTATATTTTATACTGTCATCCAATTAAAACTAATTTTTTCGACACATAAACATATAATTATAAATAAATAGATTTTTTAATTAAATTATTATAATAACAACTTTCTCCATGTTTCTCTAAGCACCATTGATTAATATCAACATCTTTGTTATTTTCTGTTTCGTTGTATTGTTTTCGTGCCGTATTCTTTAATTACGATGATTAACTATAACTATTGATATACAAAAATTAACCTGTTGATTTTTTCCCTATTCTGTTTAATTAGTGTTGACTTTGGTTGGTGTATCGTATTTTCTTTAGTTAAAACTTGCATTCTCATTCTTTTTATATTGTATGTACATTGAAAGGCAATATTGCAGGTATTGAAAGATAACATACATCTTCTACAAGTTTTTCTAGTAAATTCCATTCTTTGGTGACCTTAAGGCTCTTGGTGGAAGTCCACTCAAATAATAAGGATCAAGTTTTACAAGTTTCATAGATATTTCTGACCATAAAAATTCTGTAAATAATGAATAATAAAAATATTAATAACAAAGTTATTCAGTTATCAAAGTTGATAAGTAAAAATATGAACCTTTTGATCCATGTTTTTTCTTGTGCAAGTATGGCATTGTCTTGACTTGTGTATTGAATAAAAGCAAGTCCTTTCGATCTTTTCGTTATCGCATCTTTAACCATCTTAATTGTTATCATACGTGAAAATTATTGATAGCAAGGTTTTAAAAAACGGTCAGCGTATGCAAAAACAACAGCAAAACAATATTATTGGATGTTTATACCGATACCGTTTTTATATTAAAGAATAAATTGAGGTTAATTGACATTGCAATTAGTGTTGGGACAAACTATACCGACCGAAACCTCGTAAACTTTTATGCGATCACGTCCATTTTTTAAAACCTTGATTGTTAGCATTGTTTCTCACACTAAATATATAATAAGTTGTCTCCATAGATCGGAGCTGGATAAAAAAAATTAACAATATCTCTACATAAAAACATTTAATACCAGATAAAATTTGAAAAACGATAAAAAGAAGAATAAATGGATAAGCACATAACTTCTTATAGAATGACAAATGCTTATCCAATCCCTCATACAATCCAACATAAAAAACTATTAAAAAACCATTCAAATCTAAACATATAAATCACAGTAGAGTAGAGTAGGAAGTACAAACATGAGTTGCAAAATGCCAACAACAACTTAAGTAAGGCTCTCATGATGTCTTCAAAAAGCATATAAGTTACTTGTTAAATTTTACTGCTCTAAAAGACTTGATGGGGCATGACTTGAATAAAGACCTTCAATTATAATATAAAGACAATTAATTGTTAAAATTAACACAAGTATAAATATAAGCAAAAGTAGTAGCAATAGAAAAAAATTATTATCATTTGTTTGATTTAAATTTGGACATGTTCGCTTTGTATGACCCTTTTTCATACAACAACTACAAGTAGAGGAACATTTTCTGACCATCTTCAAACTACTTTTCATTCGCAAAGTTTACGGATGTCCTTTAGTTGCCACAAGTGGAGGGTAATGCAAAACTATACCGGTACCCGATACTTTTGAAGTATCTTTAGATGTTGAATCAACAAACTCCTTATTTGATTCTTCAATATCTAATAAATCAAGTTTTGCAATTCCATTTTGCAAAATTTAAATTGTAATATCATGATTTTTTCAGATTGAGAACCACTTTCTGATAGTTCAAGGGAGTGAACCTTAATACTGTTAAACAATGAAGTGTCAGAAGCTTTGTTGCTTTCTTCTTAAAATTGTTCAATTGTCACTTGTTTTACCTTTTCTTTCTTAGCATTAATGGACCATCTATGTAAAACATACCGTGAAGGGAGACAATAAATCTTTTTCTTTATGAATACACATAATACATGCCTACAAAGAATACCTGAAAATTCAAACTTGTGACAACTACAATTTGCTTCTTTTGAGGTGACATGAAAAGTCACTAAGTAGTTAGGCATCTCTTTGTAAATTTCATGAACTTTATACGTTGAGACTTCAAAAGAAAAATTAACCTTTTCTGTGATAAATAATTGAGATTCAACCAACTCATCTTGAAGTATTCTGAATATTTTTCTTGTATAAATTTTTGAAGCTTCTTCTTCCATGGGATATAAAGTTCGTAAAAGTGGCTTTGAATTTCTTGTTTTAAATGTCTTCTCTCTTTCCTTGTTGTAACCTGCATCAAGATCCTTTTCATATTATGTCACGAACTGGTTTAATGGAGTGCTTGAATTCAAAAAGTCCTTAAAATATTTATTCATACTTTCACTCCTTTGAGTAGTAGATATTCCTGCATAAAAATTGTGACGTACATAAGCATGAATCCATTTTTCTTGAATGGAGTATATCTTGTTTAGCCACTGATTATCTTGTAATCCATATTTATCTATCACTGCTTCCCAATCAGAATCAAATTCTTCGACAATGGTAGACTAGTGGATGCACTTGTAAAATTGATTTTTAAATTCACCACGTTCGTGATAGACATGATTCAAGTACTCAGGAACTTTTTTCTCAATATACCACATACAATAATGATGATTAACCTCTGGAAATACCTTTGCAACTGCATTACTAATAGCAGCATCTTGATCTGTGATAATAGTTTTAGGACAAATTCCACCAATTGCTTCTAACCAAGTACTTAGAAACCAAACAAAACTCTCTATAGCTTCATCCCATAATAGAGCACAACCAAAAAGAATGGATTGTTGATGATGATTAACTCCTGTGAATGGAACAAAAGGCATTTTGTATTTATCTGTCAAGTATGTTGGATCAAAAGTAACAACATCACCAAAGTGTTTGTATGCCATTTTGGACCTCGAATCAACCCAAAAGCAATTTGCTAATCTTCTTTCAACGTCCATTTGAAAAGCATAGAAAAATCATGGATTTTTCAATTGACAACTTTTAAAGTATGATAACATCATTTGGGCATCTCCATTTTCTAATTTCTTTTGTCTCTTTTCAATTAAGTAATTGACAACATCTTGTTGACTAAACCTAACATTATCAACACCACCATTTTCAGTGCATAAGATAAATCTTATTTTACTAGGGCCTAAACCAGAATCATGCAACACATCAATAAGTTTTTTTTGCACTTTACTCTTCTTTCTATGTACTCGAAGAAACTGTGAACTTTTGGGAGCAAATAGTTCATGATTATGGTCCCTTACAAATCTTGAAACAACCCATATTTCTCCATTTTCTTTATATATAACATTGCCTTACATCCTACTATTGTTTCATCGTGTACGATAATATTATTACTTTCCTCTTTTACATATTTCTTTGCCCAAAATCCCTCCTTTGAACAAAGAAATTCTCGACCTATTATCATGCTATTTGTTCTTGATTTAGTAACACGACCCATACGAAAGCTAAAACTTTTGTTCTTAGCATACCTTGTGTAGTAAATTCTCGCCTATTCAATTGATGCAAACTCCAGTCCTTCGTATGACTCTAAGGGGGGCTCTGCTGGTAGCCTGCTATTGAGAGGATCAATACCAATAACACTTTCAAGCATGACATCAGGGCTAACTATATTTGAATCTTCATGTATGTTTTGCATCTCTTAATCTGTTATAATAATACAAACAACAATTATGTTACTGTTAAACATGATAATAAAAATGATGTTGCACTAGTAAAACTGAATGTATTACTAATCCTCTCTTTTAATCAATTTTGATATCATTTGTTAAAACTCAAGCTACAATTGATTTAAACGAGGGAAAAAAAGACGAGGAAAAAAATTGGAAAATCAACACAATTACAAAAAAAAAGATAATTATTTTAGGGTTTAACCTTATGTATGTAGAGATATGCAAATATCGTTTCTGAGATAAGATTTGTGAAAGTATAAACATGAGAATAATAGATGGATGGAGTGTGAGAAAGAATAATAAAACCCGGTGAAATCGGGAACAAAGAGAGTAAGAGGAACATGAAAGAAGAAAGAAAAAGAGAGAGAAACGTAAAAAAAATTATTATTATAATAATTTAATTAAAATTTTATTTATTTTTAATTATATCCTTATGTGTCAAAAGAATTAATTTTAATTTAATGACAATATAAAATAACATACATTCCAATTAAGTTATATCTAAATCACTTAAGCTTAAATTTGAACCCAATATAGAATTTATAGAATAAAAAGGGTCAAAATCATTGGACTATTACATCCATTGTAAAGAAAGAAAGAAGAGAGAAAAGAAAAAAACATGAAATATCCCAAAAGCTTATAATCATTCATCATTTCCATTATTATTCATTCAAACACTCTTCTCTCCACGCCATGTGGTTTCTATTCCCAATTTAGCCATATATCAAACTGAGAGACAAACAACCCCAACATCTTCTTCTTCCATCATCAACCAAATCTCCCTCCTCTCTCTCTCTCTCTCTCTCTCTCTCTCTCTCTCTCTCTCTCTCTCTCTACACACAGGGTTTTCAATTTTCAATCTCAATTTCAATTCACCCCCTTTTCATAGGGTTTCTAGAGAGAGAAAGCCGTTACGTGAATGTAGGGTGTTTTTTGTTTTTGGGTTATTAGTAACCGAGCTATGTTGGAAATGGAGAAGGATTTTGATTCCAAGGTCAAGATTCAACGGACTTCTTCCTCTTCCAATGGTGCTGGGGTTGTTCAGAGATCCAAAAGCTTCGTTTTTAGGGCTCCTCAGGAGAATTACACCATTCAGGACTTTGAATTGGGCAAGATCTATGGTGTTGGCTCTTATTCTAAGGTTCAATCACATAGCCAAACTTTTGTGTCTTTTTGTTCTAGCTTAGTCTTCTTGTGTTGTGTTTTTTATTTTATTTTTAGTTTTATTGGTTTTGTTTTATCTATTGTTTTGATGGATGCATGAATCATGTGGATAATGTTAGCATTTTAGTTTTGTTACATAATATATAATTCATATAGTTTTTTTTTTGTTGTTGGGAGAGATCTATGGTGTTGGCTCTTATTCTAAGGTAACTTGTGTGTGTTTAAGAACCGTGTGTTTAAGAATCATCACGAGAATAAAGTAAATGTAGCAGAGATGGAGATGTTGTGGTGGATGTGTAGTAAGGCTCGACATGATAAAATTGAAATGAAAGTATTAAAGAGAGTGTTGTGGTAGCGTCTATAGTACATAAGATGGTGGAAAATAGATTTAGGTGGTTTGGCCATTGTTGAGAGAAGACTTGTAGATTATGTAGTAAGGAGAGTAGACCAGATGGACAGAAGACAAACAATTCGAGGAAGAGAAAGACCTAGAAAGACTATTAGAGAAGTTATTATGAAAGATTTCGAGATTAATGATTTAGATAGAAACATGGTCCTTGATAAAACATTATGACAAAAGTTGATCCATGTAACCGATCCCATCTAGTGGGATAAGACTTAGGTGTTGTTGTTGGGAGATCATTGGACAATGAGCATTATTGTTGCTATTGTTGAATTGAAGCACCATTTGGTAGCTTTTATTTGGGAATTTTGATTTGTAAGAGGGATTCTTCTTTCATGTTTGACCTCAATGGTTTCTATATTTCCATCAATGACTGTAAGCTTTATTTATCGATCTTGGTAGCTTTTGTAGTATTCTGGACTGCTTTTGAGGATTCAGATTTTTTATATTGACTATTTTTTTAAGCAAATGAATCGTCGAGATTGATGTTAAAGTAGTTAATGAGAAAAACATAGGTCATGGAGCTGTGAGTAAAGATAATGTAGGGAGTAGTAAATGAAGCAAACTGAAGTAATGATGGACTTTGTTGTAAGGGGTTACCCAGCTGGAATTGACACGAAACTGCTGGTACATGAAATTAATATCACATTCTTCCTTTAAGTTTAGTATGTGATACCTAATTTCTTTTGCGAGGATTTTCGCCCTTCAAGTGGGTTTTTCATTAGTGTGTACTTATTTAAAATGCATTGTTATCAAATGCAAGTATGTGACATCGCATTTTGTTGTTGTTTACTTTTGTAGTGAAGTGAGCGAACATGGTCCTTGGTTACTTGTTTTATTTACCAAACACCTTTCTTTGCTTCTCTTTCTCAACTGATTCCCCCTTTCCTGAGTTCTTTTTGGTTGGGTATTTTAGTTTTAAAATCCATCAATAGTTCTATCTGTTTGAATAAAAATTATCTTGTTCTTTCAACCCTTTGGGACAATTTATTTTCCTGAGTTTGGGTATATGATTATCTTCACAGAATATTGAGTTTCTAAATTTTTTGGTCTTGAAGGACAGTGTTGTGAACTTCTTTGTAGATCTGATCCTTTCCTTCGCCTATGCCCCTCTTGCTCTTGCACCTGCGCTCTCTTTCTACTGTCTTGCTTAATTTTGGATTTTTTTAAATTTCATTTTACAATTTTTATGCTGGCTATGTTCAAAAAATTATGAAATTTGAAGTACAATTTGTTTCCTTTCAGCACACTATTTTTCTTTTATATGCTAGACAGTTTTTTGAGTGGATTGCTTTCGTATGTGTCTGAAGGTTGTGAGGGCAAAGAAGAAAGACACAGGTGTTGTGTATGCATTGAAGATCATGGACAAAAAATTTATTACCAAAGAGAACAAAACTGCATATGTGAAGTTGGAACGCATAGTGTTAGATCAATTGGATCATCCTGGCATTGTGCGGCTATATTTCACATTTCAAGACTCATTTTCTCTATGTAAGTAATTCTGGGTATATTTTCTGCTTTTTTTTCTCAGTGGCTTACTCCTCTTGGTGGATATTTGAAATAATCTTTTTTTTCTGTTCTTTTTGCATTGGAGAAGACATGGCACTTGAATCCTGTGAAGGTGGAGAACTCTTTGATCAAATTACCAGGGTAGGCTAACATAAAAGTTCATTTCACATATTCACTCTTTGTAATTTCTTGATATCATCAAACTTGTTTATTGCTCAAACTCTACAATATCACATTTAAGCAAATTGAATAACCTCCATTCTAAAGCCTTTTACAGAAATATTATTTTGAATATCAAACATTAACTAAATGACCACCGCTGCCCTAAATTGTAACACACATTTCTTTATCATTATTCAGTATGTCTGTCAGGGGGCTTTGCAATTATTTCAAGTCCTTCAATATTTCTCTTTATTGAAAAGTTGAGTTAGCTATATAAGACTCGAGTTGAATTCATATAATCCAATCCACTTATTTACCAATTGATGAATTTAAGAGAATTTTTGTTTTTTGCTTTTTTTTTCCTGCTACTCGTACTATTATAATACTTCTTTTTTCAGTAACAATTCAAGTTTGTGATCTTATCAAGACATTTACAATTTGGTGGCCTCATAAGAAATTTTTTGTACTTCTAGAAGTGTTGAAATTTGGCTGTTCTTTTATGTGTTAAATAGTATCCTTATCCTTCTGATGCTCGTTACTGAAAAATATCTACTAGCAAACTGTCTGATTTCCTGTGTGCAGAAAGGCCGTCTAACTGAGGAGGAAGCACGGTTCTATGCAGCTGAAGTTGTTGATGCTCTTGAATACATACATGGTTTGGGAGTGATACATCGTGATATTAAGGTAGCTCTGGGATGATTATACTGCATTATTGCCATATATTGCTATAAGTGAAAATTAAATTTCTTCAACTGCAGCCAGAGAACTTATTACTCACAGCTGAAGGACATATTAAAATAGCCGATTTTGGGAGTGTGAAGCCTATGCAAGATAGTCAAATTACCGTCCTTCCAAATGCAGCATCAGGTAAGATAGGAGCAATGCTGAAACTGCTAGTTATTTTATTTTATTTATATTGTTTTTTTTAATTATCTTTGTTAATTAATTTGTTCATAAAAATTTAGATGACAAAGCCTGCACATTTGTGGGAACAGCTGCTTATGTCCCTCCAGAGGTTCTTAATTCTTCTCCCGCAACTTTCGGGTAAAGGTTAAACATTGATTAGTTTTACCTTTTTGAGATGATTTTCTGCGTATTTAGATTATTTGAAATGTTATTGTGTTTTTGTTTTTGGCTAAATCGAGGGCTATTTTTTGCCAATTCAGATGTCATATTTTGACTGCTCTCAGTTCTCTGTTGTTGCTGTTTCGTGCCAGGTCACCATGTTATAACCTTTTATATATTTTGTTTTTCTTTGTCAATATATTACCACAGAAATGACCTCTGGGCACTTGGCTGCACATTATACCAAATGCTTTCTGGAACTTCTCCTTTTAAAGATGCAAGTGAATGGCTTATTTTCCAAAGAATTATAGCAAGGGAAATTCGATTTCCAGATTACTTTTCAGATGAAGCAAGAGACCTTATTGACAGGCTATTGGTTAGTGCATTATGACTGGACACAAATATATTTCCCTGGTGTGCCTTTCTAATTCTTACACTTCCACATTGTCAGCAAATTATCCTCTTCCCATTTTTGCAACCATTGCGTTGCTGTTCTTTAAGTTGACCAACTATGATAAAGTAGCAGTTAGGATTGAAGTGTTCTGCATCTGGCTTTCTTGTAGGACAGTATTTTAAGATAGGAGTGTTGTGCAAACACGAGTTTAATATTTTTTTGTTTTCTCTGTGACTTGGGGGTAATAACAATATTTCTTGATGATACATGTAACAAATTTTTTAGCATGCTTTAAGTTGCTTGCTGTGTGCTATTAATTTGCGATTTTTTAATTTTAAAGAGAAATGCAATTATGGTGCAGGATTTAGACCCGAGCAGGAGACCAGGGGCAGGACCTGATGGTTATGCTATTTTGAAAATACATCCCTTTTTCAAGACAGTTCTCTGGGATAACTTAAGGGCACAAACTCCTCCAAAACTTGCTCTGGAACCCGGGGTATATGACTTCCATTGCGTTGCTGTTTGAAATGTTATTTATGCAAAATAAGAAAATAACCTTTGATTCTTGTCCACTTTCTTGCTTTAATAAGAACACAATCCATAATTTTCATTTTAGACTCAATCGCCTGCTGCCGATGATGTTCAGGAGTCATCATGGAGTCCTTCTCACATCGGCGACGGTTCTGCAGCTTCGGCTAAACAGCCTGATGGCACTACATCACCTTCAGAGGGAACCGGTTCTATAACCAGGCTTGCTTCAATTGATTCCTTTGATTCAAAATGGTATGCAAGAACAATCCTGGTTGTTTGTTGCTTTGTGCATTGTTGTATATCCAATCATATTTGCATAACATGAAATTGGTGTGATGCATACACATCAAAAGTATATGTTTTATCGAGACCATTAATCCTTTGTCAATCAGGTTGCCTTGAAAAGTTAAAAAAATAGTATAATTTGCAATTTCACAACCTTCAAAATATTTTAAAATCTGTACCCATAGGAGATATTTTGAAGCAATATTCTCTGCATTTTAAATGTTTTATCTGATGATGCATAGTATACTTAGTTATATGTTTCTCAGATTTAGAGCTTTTCACATCACAGAAAATGGTATTAATTTCTTTTGGATTACATAAATAAGTTAAAACTATATTAGTTTTAAGATTTAGCTGCTTTATTTACAGACTAAAAACAACACACCTAGGTCTCATGTGTCATGGATTATGTTGGTTTACATATTGTTCAGTGATATATTCACTTTTTACAAAGATAGATGAGTTGTGTGCAGTTGCTATTCAAGAAGCCTTATGTTTATGTGGTTTGTTATTCAAATTTTGTGCACACGTAACAGGCAACAATTTTTGGATCCCGGGGAATCTGTTCTTATGATCTCCATGGTGAAGAAATTACAAAAAATAACAAGCAAGAAGGTTCAGCTCATCCTTACCAACAAGCCGAAGTTGATCTATGTGGACCCTTCAAAATTAATTGTAAAGGGAAATATAATATGGTCTGATAATCCAAATGATTTAAGCATTCAAGTGACTAGTCCTTCACATTTCAAGATTTGCACAGTAAGCTTTCTCTTCACTTTAGAATTCAAGCAACACATGTTTATCGACTGTGAATCTTATGATTCAAAATAAGATTCAATTCATGATTCGGAAAATAGGTCTCCTGATTCACAAATTGAATCTTGATTTGATAACCATGATCTACTTTATTTGTTTTCTGGTACCTTCCTTCACAATTTTGTTATCAAATGTATGATGCAGCCTAAAAAGGTTATGTCTTTTGAGGATGCTAAGCAAAGAGCATCTATATGGAAAAAGGCAATTGAAGGACTTCAAAACCGGTGAACTCATTTGGTTTTGAGAAAATTTTCTTTTAGACACACCTTCATCTTCTTCAGCAAAAAGGGATGAAACAGTTGGACTCCCAATTAATCAAATTTTCATTTAAAGAAAGTGAATTTGTAGATTTAGCTTGATGAATCATGTTCAAGCTAAATCCTCACCACAACTTAATTTAATTTGTGATGAGTTTTTCCATCCTTTTTCATGCTTCAATGGGATTTATGATTAAATGTGGAAGTTGTAATTGTAGCTATGTTAGGGGGTTGGAACCAATACTTTGTAAGAAAAAAATCAATTATTTTTTACATTATATATCATTAGCTGGAAGATGATAGCATTTTGGTTATCATAATGTTATGAATCATTGAATTGCTCAATTTATTGTTTCTTCAGCCCAGGATCAGAAGATCAGAAGGTGTAGCCTCCCTGAACTTTAAAAATGGACATGATTTGTCCTTGGCATTTTGTAGATAATATGTGCACTATCCCCAATTCTATATGGTTTTAGAGGCTGACTAAAAATCCTTGTTGCTTCAGTTGCACTTGGTAAGCTCCATTTTGCAGAACTTCAATCATTATTTATTTGTAATCATACCAAGACAGTTGGTTCGTTAATAGAGACACATGTAATCTATCAAAATTTGCTTAACTTGTGGTCCCAATTGTCCTATCCGATTTAAAAAATTTAGTCTCTACCTGAGATTATCTAATCTAATTTGAACAAAAAACGTGTCGTCAGGATTGCATTACACTGCCGTCCAATAAGAAATATTTACCAAGTACTTGAAAATCATTTTAAAAAGTTTTTTTTATTGTGAAATATCAAAACTGTTACAGATCATAAACTATTTACAGTGTACCTACTAGAGCTAATTTCTTAAGCCCAGAATAATTAAAAAAAAAAACAATGGTGATGATAAATTGAAGGTCTCTGCAAAAGTTATTAATGGTTGAAGATGAAAAAAGCCACTGCCATGGTTACTACTGGAACAGAAATGTTGTCATCAATCACCTCAGTAATGGGTAGGGACTCCACCACTGTTGCCACAACAGAAATAAAAGCTACTCTTGGCAAAATGTTCTCCCAATTAAACTCCACATGTCCTAGAGCTGAATAGTAATAGAGCATCCTACACGCAATAAATATCAACAGTTTCAGTCTCAAAATATCTACTTGGAGTAAAATCTTTTTCACATTTAATTCTCTAAGCTGAGTAAATTTCCTAATTAGTAAAAGAAAGTACTATTGAAAAAATTGATGAGTTTGCAATGCAATGTAACATAACATACCCAATTGAAACCAAGCATCCAAATATAAACATTGATATGCTACCAGCCCAACTCTTTTTTTGGTTATAAGGAATCTTGATGGACCCATATCTTCTGCCAATGATATCAGCTACACCTGGTAGCATCCATGGCAATTCAATGTTCGTTAGCATAAACTATGATGCACAGACACCCCGACTATGACTCAGATACAGACACAACAACACCGATAATAATATGTATGTGTCAGATATCAACACGTTTTTTTCTAGAAGTGTCGGTGTTCCATATCTGAGGAATAAGATTATAAAGTGTAACCAAAATTGTATTACCATCCCCTCCGCACATCATTGCCAAGGAAACCACCCCAATTGGAGATTCACGCCAGAAAACAACAGCACATAACATCAATATCCCAACATAATAAAGAGGACCTCTTAGCAATTCTCTGTAGGCCATGTGAACAGTTAAAGGTTAAGTAGATATATACTACCGCCATGACCAAATAACGCGAAAAAAATGAATAGACATTTACTTACTTTGGATCTCCTTTTCTAGTCACGGATTTGACGAGTCCTTGATCAGAAACAAGTGAAAGACCATTCACCAAAAGTCTCAAGAAATTCACCAGAGGAACAAAAGCAGCAAAGTAACGAGCTTCAGAGGAGTTGCTATCCTAACATTAACATCAAAAACATTCAAACAAATCAAATCAAAAAATAGCAAAGAGACAAACTTTATGTAAATCACTTAAATGGGTTTACCTGAAAATTGGCCAAGAAACAAGAAAAAGCAAGCCAGACAATATATGGACCAGTTTTCTACTCAGACCCTGCCATCACCATGTGCCATCAATTTTTTCAAACAAAGCACCAATTTTGCATTATAAAACAAAACCCAAAATTCAAATGGAACCAAAACAAGTAAAAAAAAAGATCAATTCAAATATATTTTTTGGAAATTGTGTCAAATGTTAATATATGCATGCAGGGTAATAAAGTAAATTGAAGAAACCAAACCAAACCAAACCATTACCTGGTCAAGGATGTTTCTTCTAGTGAGATCATCAAAGGAAGAAACAAGACCATAAGCGCCGCCGAGAACACCAACGGTCGCTCCGACATTGTGGATTAGATCTTGAGCATTTGCAGGGACATTAAACCTTGTAACAAATCTTTCATCCAAACGGACATGTCTCTGTACTAGAGGAGAATATAGAAACTTGACAGTGTCGTTTGGTTTTCTGGGTTTGTTCCAAGGAAAGAGATTTGTGGTGGTGGACGTTGTCGGTGCACGGCGGTGCACGGCGGAGAATGGAAAGAGGTGAGAGGATAAGAGAGCCATGACTGATGTGAGAGTGAGATTAGACTTCAGTCCGATGAAAAACAAATTTTATAGGAGTTTTTTTGTTTAAGGAATTTTATTTAAGAATAATCTGTGTTTAATTAGGTGAGAGATTAGTTGTCATAACTTATGTGAAGGTTATTTATTTCAGCTTTAAAGAAATTTAAAAAAATCAAATAATTAGATATTTGTTAGAGATTTTTTGACATACTATAACATTTATATGTTAGTGGTTAGTGATTAGTGATGTTTAAATCAAAACCGATTCAAATAAAGATAGTAAGTCGATTAGAAAAAATTGAAAATTACAAAAATATTATATCGTAAAAACTGTTCGGTTCAAATTAAATTTTAAATTAATTTTTTAAAATTAATTTAAATTAAATTGAATTGCGCATATATATATTTTAGGCTTAAATGCAGTTTTGACCCCCTAGTTTAAGGTTTTTGGAGTTTCGATCCCCCTAGTTTAAAAGCCAGGTTTCTAGTCCCCAAAGTTTTCAAATTTGGGATTTTTGAAGCCCCCTCCATCTGGCTGCCCAAAAAGTGACATGGCACAGGGAGAGTAATGCCACGTATTATTTTCTTATTTCTTATTTAGAATAATATTTTTTAAACATTTAAATAAGTGATATTAATTTCCAAATGAATTTTTAATTTCATAATTCATATTTTCTGAAAATCCCAAATTGCTTAACCTAATTTCCTCTTCCATCCTTGCTTCTGGTCATCTACAACCTTCCTTCTTGGTACGACCTCCATCTACCTTCTATTCCATCTACCTTCTCTTCCTTCCTGCAAGCATCCAACATGTCTCAAAAATCCGTGTCGAATTCGAGCTACAGGAATCGTTCTGTTATACATGAATGCCACTGTGGTATCGATGCTCCGTTGATGACGGCTTGGACCGATTCAAACCCAGGACGACGCTTTTTCGGATGTGGGATGTACAAGGTATGATATTCTTCAATTACAAAATTTGCTCCTCAGAATTGAGTATAGACTGAATATTTTGTGACCTCCATTGTTGCAGGTTCAAGGTTTCAAGAAGTGCAGTAATTTTGTTTGGTTGGATGAGGAAATGAATCCTAGGGCAAAGGAAGTGATTGGGAACTTACTCCACAACTTGAATGAAGAAAAGCAGAGGGTTAAAGAGTCAATGGTAAAAGAAGAAGAAACAAGGATGAAGATCAAATTTTTAAAGAAACAGTTGAAGTTTAATTGGTTCATAACCATCTTTGTGTTGGTTGCATTTGTTGCAACAATAATAATGAAATGATGTAGGTTTATTAGTATTGGAGGTTCATTGTTGTCTGTAGGAGGTTCTTTGTGTTGGTTGAAATGATCTAGGTTTATTAGTATTGGAGGTTTATTTGTATTGTTGTGTGTAGGTTTATTAATGTTGGAGTTTCTATGTTGTTTAGTTCGTAATGATGTTTGAGGTGTATAACTACTCATGATTTATAATGAAATGATGATGTTTGAGGTTTATAAATTGCAATTGCACTTGAATTTGTTTCATTATGTAGACCATTAAGTATAACTTCTCAGTGTAATAATGAAACATTATGTAGGCCATTACAAATGCAGAAAAAATGGTCTACCTAAATACAGAAAAAATGCAGAATTTTTCAAAATGCAGATGCAGAATTATTATACCTAAATTATACCTAAATGCAGATGCAGAATTATAACTAATTAAACACAGAATTTTGTTGCAGAATTATACCAAATGCAGAATTATACCAAATGCAGAATTTTGTTGCAACACAGAATTATACCAAATGCAGAATTATTAAACACAGAATTTTGTTGCAACACTGAATTTTTTCCAAACGCAGATGCAGATACCAAATGCAGAATTATTAAACACAGAATTTTGTTGCAATACAGAATTTTTTGCAACACAGAATTTTTTGAGCAGTTTGTGGCAACACAGAATTTTTTGAGCAGTTTGTGGCAACACAGAATTTTTTAAACACAGAATTTTGCAGAATTATTCAACACAGTTTGTTGCATACTTGAGCAGCCAAGACAGTTTGTAGCAGAGTGTGTACCAAATTCATGATTGTACCAAAACATATCCATTACAAGATACATATCCATTACAACATATCCATTACAAAATATTCATTACAAAATATAACCATACTAAAGATATCCATTATAACCATACTAAAGATTTCCACTAATACATCAAGTTTCATTCCAAAAAAAAGCAACATCATTCCTAATTACTTCTACTCTTGACTAGGCTGAGGTGCTTGAGATCCCTGACCAATCTCAATCTGTTTTTCTGCATCTTTAGTCTTCTTAGTCTTGTTAGTCTTCTTTGCCTTCTTGGTTGTCTTTGTTTGTTTGGTCTTCTTATTGCCTCCTTTTGGTATCTG